TTTAAAATTATGTAATGTAAAATTAATTAAATATTGTTCTTTTGTCAGGTTCTCATTACGCATTATCATTTATTATTTATCTTGTATACAAATGAACTTCACTGCCAATGTGATATAAGGTAAGTGTGTCGCATATATTATTTAATTTCCTCAAATAAATTATAAAACTTAATATGGTGTTAATTCCATGCCCCTCCACGATTTCACCACAAGGTGGTGCTGGGGCACCATCAACAGTACCAAAATATCAAATGTCAGATGTCAAATTTGACTGAGTGGTTGGAAATTCATGAATGAAAGGGGTGGGTCTATAGCGTCACTATTACACAGTTTGGGGAGGATCCTGGATCCTCCTGATCCATTAATAATAATGGAAATAAAAGTGCTGCTTGAGGGAAACTTTGTGAGATTTGCCTACTTACAAAGCCAGAGACAAACGCTAGGTTAGCGCAACGCCTTTCCTGACTCCTCTTCCTCATCCCGGCTCTTCTCAGCTGAGGACTCCTCCTCAGCCTGGTTCTTCTCAGCTGAAGACTCCTCCTTAGCTCAGCAGCCTCCTCTTCTGCCTCCTGGTAAAGAGTACCGAAGGCGATGACAGCTGCGATCGTTCGCCGGTCCATATTTGACATCAACCAGATTCAATATACTACTCTCAAAACACCCTCAGACACTCTTAAACAACGCGATCCACAAACAATAGCCTTTCCCGGGCTCTTTATTCCTGCCGTTGACTCGTGATGTACAGAAAATTCTTGGCTCGTGAGATTTCTAAACAGCTTAAACAAAATAAGGAGGTGAATGAAACAATGAAAGGAGATTGTTGCTGCTTTATTAAAAAATAGGCATTACATTGTTAGTGTACACTTGTGGTAAATTACAACAGCTGAGCTTAGAGTATTGTGTGTGTGTGTGTGTGTGTGTATATACATATATATATATATATATATATATATATATATATAGTACCTCATCCTGCACGTCAGTGACAGCTCTCTGGGCTATCCAGCCTTGGTGAAACTTTTTGGAGCGCTGGCCAAAGACCCATCCAAATCCACCAAGGAGAGGACAAGATCTCAGGGTAGCTATATACACTAAGATGACAGATAGGCTTTTTTGGTGGAGATGGCACTGATGAAAGATGCGCTGGAGATTCTGCAGGCCCTGTCACTTTTCCTTGAGAGGTGAGACGCAACCGCTGTCAGTGCTAATACTGAGGTGGGCGTGGCACTGAGCGCACTGAGATCAATGAGGAAAGCCGACGGTGTGGACACAAAATGCATGCATTTTTTCGTCTTCTTTTAAATGTTATTTTGTCATCCCAATGGTTCAGGACGTCTGACCTTGAATAAAAATCAGATCCGATGAGAAAAAAAGTCTGAGAACCCCTGGTGTTAGGTTTACACAAGAAACAACTGTTTTCATATAGCCTGACTGTTGGCCTGCCGTTGTGTGGTAATTTTTTTTTAAATAAAAACGTTTCTCAAAATTATCCCCCCCCCTCTGCTTTTTTCACAAATCGCACCCTGTATACATATATATACATGCTGTGTGTGTGTGTAGCGCAATACCAATTGTTTTGGATGATAAGGTACTGGATAAAAAAGCACAGCTGTAGCAGGCTGTCTCGGGTATTGCGCAATACCTACAAGAACGCATAGTCTTAAACTGACAACAGAGCGTCATGTGTGCTCGTGACCTTGCCAGTTCATTCTTCCAAGCACGACTCGCAAGAACATTCTCCCCAAGAACACAAGTCCATTCTTTGCATTTTTGGCATTGAGAAAGGCCTATGGTCTTGTTCCGTTTTTTTTTGGTGCGCACCCGAGTGTGATTGCTGTGTTCACACCTGTCCAAACAAACTGCACTTAGGGGGCAAACGAACTTGAGATGAACTCAGTCTGTTCATGGTCGTGCTCATGCTCTTCTTCAGCGTCTATGTTGGTCACTGCTGCACGCTGGGTGGTCACCTGACCATATGTGCTGCACACACCAGCCCTGCGTTCCAAATCGCCCTTATAAAGTATGTAGCGTAGTATGCAGTATGCATGCAGTATGCATACTATTGGGACACACTACATCCGCCATCACATCCACCCTGAACTCCGACCCTCTTGCTCACCTCCGCTGCCGTCCGTAGCGCCACATTTGAATATTTTGTTTTGTTGTACTTCGGAGATGCAGCAAATCTCCTCTCGTTGAGCCCACCAGAGTCGTGCATACTGTCGGAGGTGCCGGAGAGCTCTGTTGCTGTTATGTCGTAATGTATGTTGTTGTTTCTAATAAACTGATGTGTTCACGTAAACAGTCCCAAGCCCATTATTAGTGACCTGTCTATTGAACTAGTCACCAGTAGGCATATTAACCCCCTTCACACACAGCTCTCTGTTGCTGGCAGATGTTTGATGTTAAATATATTTACAGCCATGCAGCTGCTGGCACTATATTCTGTCTGCACGTGAAGCAGCCTTACATTCACATTACTTTTATTTGTAGTGTAACATACTTGCACATTCTTACTACATTACTTAATATGTGTTTGACTTTTACTATTCATATATTTACTAGTCTATACTGCTCATACCTGGCCCATAGTGTATTCATATTTAGTCATATGCATTCATTATTTATACCACACTTACCCCACTGCCTGTACTGGTAGAATTTTCTATATTGTAGTCATAGTTGAACCCTAACACTGATTATACTATAATCACAATA